CCATCTACATTTACTACAAGAAGCTCATAATCGTCCCCAATCGTTGAAATTGAAATCAGACAGTTGGACATACTTTGCTTCTGCACAAAGTCCAATAACATTTTAATCATCAGACTGTTTCAGTTCTCTGCACAAAGTCCAACAACAATGCAATCTGAGCAAATAAAACAGCTAATCACACATCCCCATGACTCAATCCACATACCAAAATTAAAAAGCCCAATCCCATATGTACAAATAATCCTATTGACCGAATTATTGGCTTATCACTTATGCCAAAAAATTAAACAGTTCCAACCTAATGGGGTGGCAATCGACCCAGGCTCGAGGGATAGATCCCATCTGGTCCGGGTATAGGTCCAACAATTGGTCCCAGCAAGTCAGGTCCGGGTTCTTAATCCTGGACCCAAACACCATTTGGGTTGGGGTTCAGGTTCAATTGGATACCAATCAGATCTAGATCCGATAATATCTCTTGGGTCCCAATATATGGAATATATTTAAAACTGTTAAATACATAGATATTTTAATTTTTGAGTTGGGTCTAAGTCCTAGTCCCATATCATTATTTGGGTTCAGGTCTGGATTTGGCTGGACCTAGACCAAACCCGGCCCGTGGCCACCACTACAACTTATAGCACCCTTTGAATCTCCACAAGTCTAATAAACGACACAATTTAGTGAAGAACTAGCCATCTTGGCCACATTATAGGCATATAACTTATGTCTTCAAGTGAATGACAAGATTCCTCTACAAGAAGAAAATCCAGAATTCCTCTAAAAGCACACTCTCAGATTTCTTAGCATCTATGAAGCCTCTTAGACCACCACACTTGGTGTTGAACTTGGTGACAGTTTAAATTCATTAGGTGCCCAAGACACCCCATGTGCCAAAGATTGATGCAACACTGTTCCTATGTGGGTCCCTTATATATGTGGGTCCCTTATATTGGGGTGTGGCTTATATCATAATGCAAAGAAATAGGGTTGTATTGAGCTGTACTATTGACTTCAAGTTAAACAATGTAGATTTGACACGTTTTTTTAAAATAATATAAAAAAATGACAAATATTTTAAAATAATACGAAATTTTCACCATTAAAATAAAATAAATGATATATGTAACTGCAACATCACTTGTATAAGTTCCAATCATATATATATTGAAGATAGAGACATACTGGAGACATGCACATTATCATACATGTCTCTAATATTTCCACAACTTCAATCATGTAAATTTTTTCCACAAAAGAAATGCTTCCTTAGAGGTAAATACAAGAAGCCCCTCAGTAAAAAGGACAGAGCCATCCCAAGCCATCGGATATGAAATCAAGCAACTCGGGGCACAACGATAATTGCTTCTGCAACCCAACAAAAGCCTCCTTAGATAATATGCTGCCATTTGGCATTACATCAGAGGAGTTGAGGTGTTCGTGCACTTTCAGTACAAAAACTATGTTACACCAGCTCAAATCATCATCAATTTAATGACATTGTGCATCGAACTCTTGACTAGGATCACACAATGAAAGGCAAAGCTAGGGTTTCGACCACCCACCTCATATTTGAGGTCCATCTCACGAACTAGCATCAAAGGCTTCCACAACAGTAGCTTTTCCTCCGGAAGCATGTTTGTTGATCTAAAGCAGCAAAATCGATACTACTGTATTGTGCTATAGTAACATGCTACCGTACTAATCGTTGTGCTTGCATATTATCTTAGCGCAGAGCCAATAGCTTGGGCTAGGGCTAGCAAAGAAGGAGATATGCAAGATCCAAAACAAGAGAAATATGCAAAAACTAGAGAGAAAAGGTGGACCACTTGTTACTCTAGGGTTTTGTATTTAAGTTCGTAACAATATTGTCCATTATGCTTGAGTACATCCTTTATATAGAAAAATCTTAAACAAGACAAAATACATGCCACCCATCAAATCTAGATATGAACCATTCTTATGAAGGATTCTAAACGAATAAAAAGACATCAAAGATTCTAAAAATTACTACTTATGCCCTCAGATAAATAACAAAACTCGACAAATAAATAAAAGACAAAAAAATCAATGACTCAACGACTAACTTGCCCTTTCGTGGTTCTTCTCATAAACTTTAAGCTTATCTCACTTGTTTCGATACACGAGCAATATTCCACGCTGCATCAAAATCCACAAGGGTTTATATGCGGGATTTCAAGTGCAGGACGAGGAGGGAGATACAAAAACACTAGATAAGTTTTCCAAAGAACAGGGAAAAGGCTATCACAAAGGGGCGTTGAAGGTTGGGCAGGCTGGTATTGAAACCATCCCGAAATTGGTTCTGTTTGATCGTTTATCAACCAAATTAGCAATCCAAATTGAGAATCGCCAGGTTTTGAAAGCATTAATTCCTACAAACCCTCCATAAACAAACAAACATGAAAGTATACATGTCATTTTCTTACAATACTACTTTTGAAAGCTATGTCACAACACTATAATCTTTGGCGATTTCTGTGACAAATATTACGGAATAATATTGAACAAAGACCCATTTTGTTGCGAATGTTTTATGGCCTCAAGAAGATTAGCAGAATCATCATCATCATAACCTTTTTTCAACAATTTAAAATTGCCTACACGCATCCTGGTATGTCGTTTTACTCTTACCAAAGCTTATACTACAATGAGAACATAAGTACCAAAATCTTTTCTCACTCTTACAAACCATGCGCTATTCCGCCAACCTCTTACCCTTTTTGGCCCACCACTCACAAATGTCAATCTCACAAAACCAATCTCACAATTGTCCTACAAAACTTAATTTTCAACTTTATTGATATGCGACGATCATATAAATCTCTGGTTGCACTTCTCTTGTTTGCCTGTCAACTCTAATTCCATATACAACATCTTCCTTAATCTCATCATATTTCTATGGACCCAAAAATATTGAAAGTCTCTTGATCGCCAATCATAACTACACCCTCCACTCTACTCCTATTGCCACTAAACTTGCATTCCAAATACTCTACCCCAATTTGATTAATTTCAAAATCATTAAATTTCAAATCATCCCTCGTATTGACATTGCTACGGGACGAAATTAGCAAATTGAGAAGCGAAAATGGCCAAAACTCAACATATTGCTTTTCACCATACTTCATACTTGCATGCACATACTTAAGTGTCAACGCATGGGAGCAAGCTTTGCCAGGGGGTACATGTCAGCCTAGAGGCTCAGGCCAGGCTTATTGAACAATATAACCACCCTTGACCATTAGATATGAAAATGGGTGACTTTAGGACCAAACTCAAAGTTCAAAATAAAATGTATCGAACTTTGTGATACATCAGAGCTATAAGAGTTCGCATTGGATGGATAAAAGTAATTGTAACCACCTTGTTTAAAAAGTAAATGGCCTCATTGTATCCTACAGAAAAATATTACTTTTATGACATATTTTCGAATATAACATATTATACGAGACTTTCAATCCCAACCCAAAACAAGATTATACGACATACATTTGGTACCTCTAAGCTACAATAAAGACATGCAAGAGAAACCCTAGTCCACAATATTTACAAACTGACGTATTAGACAAAATTTTAAAGGCGGTAAGACATGCAAGTTAGCAACAGAATACGTATGTTACTCACACATCGGAGCAACATAGACGCTCTCTCCAAACTAGGGGTGGCAACGAGCCAGGTATGGTTCCAATCCCACCGATCCTAGAACCAAATAGTACTCGGATCCAAATTTTTTATCCATACTCAATCCCCTTGGGTCCCAAGTCTGGTCGAATCCATTGCCACCCAATAACTGAAATCTTTTTCATATTTTTTTTTCATTATTTTACCATCACATAGCCAATGGTTGAGGGTCCTTTTCTTTTGCCAATAATATTAATATGAACACCTAGTGCGAGCCACAAGACATTATTACCATAATATACCCTATAACTATAGCTTCGAGTCGAGTCCAGCCTGACTCAGAGCCAAATAGTATTTAGGTCCAAAATTGGAACCCATACCCAAACCCATGGTCAGGTCTACCCAACCAACCCAGGGACAGGTCAGGTCCATTGCCACCCCATCTCTACTTGAGTGGATTTTACCTGTGGAAGTTCAACAACAAACAAAGATCGACTCAACGATAATTCTCACAAGAGAAAAAACAATCAAAAGTGGAGTAATTTGATAAAAAAAAATCACGAGTTAAGTAATTCAATACAAATATCTCGGCTCCCCATAACAAGAGTATATCTAACAAATTTTGAAAATTCTTCCTTTTCATTACATAAAAAGCTCAATTTCGAAACATTATTCGTTTCTATTACATCAAAGCAAAATAGTTTATATAAGGTCGGAACCATAAACTGCAACACTACGGATGCACCTATAAAATCCATTGGAAAAGGTAATTTTAATGTTGAAATATCCTCTAATTGATCATCTCAACATAGATATGTATGACAATGGAAAAAAAAAAGAAGTATTTTGAGTACCGCAAATAATACATCTTCACAACACATTTTCTAAACCATCTATTTTCAAGATTTTTATATATTTATAGACCTTGCTTTTAATCATTTGTGCAGTTTAAAATTTTTTAGTAAGATATGAAACGAGATTTTGAGGGAATCCTAAGAATACTTTACATCAATAATATATGTTACGATAAAATTGGATTGTTTGGGGTTGCAACCTTATGGAAACCACAACCGACATAAAAAGATCAAATTCAAAGCACTATCCTTTTCTAGCCCATAAAAATAAAATTTCAAAATGCATTCTTTTTAAGTACAGAAAAATTTAACGCGACAATTTTCCAATTGTCGAAGAGATCACATCTCCAAAAGCTGAAGTCCAACAATTATTCCAATATGAGGCTTACCAGATGGAGTAAATGCACTATATAATCATTTGGCATTTGATCATTAAAAGAACATTAACCACATATTTAGTAAAAAGAGGAAGCATCCTCATGGAACACCCAGAATGAGAGACTTGGATTCAGTCCAAAAATCACTGCTTTCTTTAGATTAAGCAAGCAAATTGTATAGAGAGACAGACCAAACTGGGGACATGAAAAAGTTCAGCGCGGATCCGAAAATTTCAAGATGCAGTGTGGCAACAAATCACAATTCAAAATTACAAAAAAGTTGAGCTCCAACTTCAGCAGTGTCAAGGGAAGGCGAGATCGAGGCATTAACAAGAACTGGAAATATCCATATTCAATCCATGAAGTATCTCCAATTTGCTACTCAGTATGAGAACGAACTATGAGCAAGAATCTCCCCTAATAGAATACAGAGGTGAGAGAATTAAAAATATGCAAAACAACAACGCGAACTCACCTACTAAACATCAAGTTCGAAAGCGAGGAATGAGAAGATCCATTTTGCACAGTGAGAGAGAGAGAGAGAAAGAGAGAGAGAGAGAGATAAGTATGTAGTAATTTTAATACCATTTGCAAGAGACCATCAAACCGACGCCAATATGATAGAGAAAGGACAGTATAGATACACCTACCCAAAAATTACAGTATATATGCCTAAAATTTGTAGACAAAGAAACATCCATCTCTACATAAACTTATAAAAAGATGAATAGCAATTATAAAGGAGAAAAATACCAGAAACAAGATACCTTGTAAGAAAGGAAAAAGGTATAAAACAACCAACGCCTTATTTTTAGCAAAACATAGAGAAAATCATAGTTTGAGGACATGAAATTGTCGTTCGGTTTAATAAAATTGTCCAACATTTTACAATAAAAAATTATCGATAACCCAAAATTGAACGTTGCATGAAATTGGAAGAGAGATTTCGAGAGAGAACGGAAAAAAAATGGAAGAAAAATAAAATTAAGAAACCAATCTCTCTCCCAATCTCTAAACCCATTGTTTTCTACTCACTCCCGATATCTCTCTCAGCCCATTTTCCACTCTCCAAGCCCATTTTCCCCTCTCTAGAGAGAGGGGAGACGAGTGGATTGAGAGAAAAAGAAAAAAAAAAAAAACAACAAGTAAAAAGAGTATGAGGCTGAACAAAGAGAAGGAAAGAAGAGAACGATATTTTAATCTTAATATTTTTTTACTTTTGACAGGTGGTAAGTATAAGAAAAAAAAACTAGTGTATTGTCATACTAACAATATCAAGGGGAGGATGTCTACAAGATTCATTATGAGGTTATCTATAATTTTCCAAAAAAACCTTATGCAAATAGCCCAAAATTTTTTAGAGTTGCTATATCTAAAGTGCCAAAATTTACAAATTACAAAAAGTAAAAGCCAAATTAAAATGCTTACCCCTCGTAACATTATTAGTGTCTTAACACTTCTTTCTTTTCTTTTTTTTTTTTACACAAAATGATATATTATTTCTATGTTGCGAGAAAACCTATTATTGTTCTAACACAACTTAAAAAAGACATCCTTGGTTACTAGCATTTTGCAATAATTTGTCTTCTTTCTATTTAGATAAAAATATACTAAATTTTAAATGCATTGTTTCTATGAAAATAAGGAAGAAACAATCCTACACAGACTTATTTATTGTTTAAAATTCAAATATTCCATTATTAGTCTCTAATATTATACTTTAAAATTCTGGTTTCATTTCAACTCAACTGAAGAAACACAATGCCAATTTCGTTGTTAGTGTTCTGAATTCGTTTTTACAACAATGATTATTTTTTTTTTTTAAACAAAAAAGAAACACACTACCCTTCCAATTCTCTTATAATCTATTTACAATATTGTTATTCCATTATTAGTGTTATCCGCTACAGAACTTATAAATAACTTAAAATGCCATTATTTCCTAATTGGTCTTTTACATTATTTTTCACATTATTTGGCTTATAACCACGTAAATATGAATAATAGTACTTTTACATACCAATTACCCAAGTATACAAAAATTAAACTACCTATCATATACCATATTTATTTTAACTTTTTAAGATATGGGTGTGGTTTACATAAGGTTTCAACCTCAAACAATCGCACACTCAAATGATGTCATAAAATGCAATATTATAATATCCAAAACTTCAAAAATATTTAAACCAAATAAATTTATGAATAAATAAAAATCATGAAGATAAACCATCAAATATAAAGATCGCCGCAAGTTCCAGATTAGGGCTTTCCAGCATTTAAACAACCTTGTCGAATGGATTTTAAATGAGCACTTTATTTCCCGAGTATAAAGTTGGCATCTTGTATAAACTCTTTTACTAAGACATGGTTATTAGTATTTTTGTTTATTTTTCACAATATTATTATATTTTCATATTAATGAGAAACACATTATTGTACTTCTTATTAATTAAGAAATTGTTAGCACTTTCTGCTTTTCTTTTTCACAATAATTATCTAATTCCAACAAAAACAAGAAACAAGACTCCATTTTTAATACTCGAGAATTACTTTAAAAAACAACATTTCATTATTAGTGTCATGCTATATGTATCACCAAATTTATCTTATGTCCATATAAATACAAAGTAAAGTACATTTCTAATATATGTTATCCCAAATTTAATTGAGTGTTTTGCTCATGTCAAGTAGAACTTACTACTCTTTTGCAACTTTTCAATTATTTAAGATGCTCGCAATTCCATTTTGTTTATTTTTCACAATACTATTATATTTTCATATTAATGAGAAGCACATTATTGTACTACCTATTAATTAAGAACTGTTAGTACTTTCTTCTTTTCTTTTTTGACAATAATTATCTAATTCCAACAAAAACAAGAAACAAGACCCCTTTTTAATACTTGATAATTACTTTAAAAAACAACATTTCATTATTAGTGTCATGCTGTATGTATCACCAAATTTATCTTATGTCCACATAAATAAAAAGTAAAGTACATTTCTAATATATGTTATCCCAAATTTAAATGAGTGTTTTGCTCATGTCAACTAGAACTTACTACTCTTTTGCAACTTTTCAATTATTTAAGATGCTAGCAATTCCATTTTGTTTATTTTTCACAATATTATTATATTTCCACCTATTAATTAAGAAACTGTTAGTACTTTCGTCTTTTCTTTTTTTACAATAATTATCTAATTCCAACAAAAACAAGAAACAAGACCCCTTTTTAATACTTGATAATTACTTTAAAAAACAACATTTCATTATTAGTGTCATGCTTTATGTATCACCAAATTTATCTTATGTCCATATAAATAAAAAGTAAAGTACATTTCTAATATATGTTATCCCAAATTTAATTGAGTGTTTTGCTCATCTTTTCAATTATTTAAGAATAGCAATTCCATTTTGTTAATTTTTTACAATATTATTATAATTTCATATTAATGAGAAACACATTATTGTACTACCCACTAATTAAGAAACTGTTAGTACTTTCTGCTTGTCTTTGTTACAATAATTATCTAATTCCAACAAAAACAAGAAACAAGACTTCTTTTTAATACTTGATAATTACTTTAAAAAACAACATTTCATTATTAGTGTCATGCTTAAGGTATCACCAAATTTACCTTATGTCCACATAAATAAAAAGTAAAGTACATTTCTAACATATGTTATCCCAAATTTAATTGAATGTTTTGCTCATGTCAACCAGAACTTACTACTCTTCTGCTACTTTTCAATTATTTAAGATGCTACCAATTCCAAATGTTTTGCAATATACTTTACAATAAATGTCTTATTTCTAGTTACTTAAAAAATATTTTCTATACTTAATAATTGATCAAGATATTATTAATTGTGATGGAATTTCTTCAAGCCCATTACAACTTGTTGGTCATGTTCCCTAAAGAGTACCCACCTGCAAAAAGTGAAACTCCTTAACAAAATACAAAGTGTGATTTCCACAAAAGGCACATGCCTGCCAAAACCACTCTTCCATAATTGGTAAATTCCATAACCCAAAAGCTTCAAAACTATAAACCCTAGAGTTTCAAAGCTTGCATTCAGAATATAATATGCGGTTCTTTTTTTTATTGAGCTATGCGAAATAGATATGACATTCATCTTAAACTGTAAATAAATATATATATAAAGTATGTTTAAAATGAACATAAAAATATAGATATACAACATATGTGTTGAGAAAAAACAAGACCAAACTGGTTTATTAAATACTTAATGGACCAAAAAGGAGGGAATAGTCCTATATAAAAGTTAATTAAAAAAGAGTAAGAGTGGCAATAAATATTCAACATTGTGGGGGAACACCCCCAGGTACTGTAACATTTCAAGTACAGAGGGGGAGTACTTTTTGGATTAGATAGGCTGTTAGAGAGAGAAAGAGAGAACTGTGTTAGAGAGAGAGAGAGAACTGTGTTAGAGGGATGACATTTTTGAAAGAGGAAAGTTCAGATAGATTCAGATTCAGTAGAGAGAGAGATGGAGCATTCCCAAATAGAGCTTCTTGAGGAGAGAGAGTGCATGTAAGAGAGAAAGAGTTCAAAGAAACATAGGAGAACCACTAAGACATTCAGATTCATCAATGAGAGATTGGGCATTCCCAAAGAAAGAGCTTCTTCAAGAGAGATTGTGCATGTTAGAGAGACACATTCAGATTCATCAGGAGAGAGAAAGCTTCTTGAAGCGAGAGAGAGAGAGTGCATGTTAGGACAGAAAGATGGCTTCAATGATAGATAAATGATAAAAAAAAAAAAAGTTCAGAGAGATACGAGAACACATTCAGATTCATCAGGAGAGAAGAACAGGGGCATTTCCTAACAGAAAGCCTCTGGAAGAGAGAGAGAGAGAGAGAGTGAGAGTGCATGTTAGAGAGAGAAAGACGACGGCAAGTTGTAATATTTTTAAATAAATCCCCTGTACTTACAGGCATTCCCAGAGAGAGACATTTTATTATAAAGAAAGAGAGAAACCAAGTTCTAATAACTCTTAACAGAACCCCTGTACTTACATAGGCGCTCCCAGAGAGAGACAGCTTATTGAAAAGAGAGAGGTTACAGGCATTCCAAGAGACAAAGCTTATTGAAAAGAGAGAGAGGTCACAGGAATTCCTAGAGAGAGATTACAAGCATTCAGAGAGAGAGAGAGATTACAGATTACAGGAGGGAGAGAGAGGGAGATTACAGGAGAGAGAAAGAGAGTTTACAGGCATTCCAATAAAGAAAAAGCTTATTGAAAATAGAGAGGAGAGAGAGAGGAGAATGTTAGAGAGAGAAAGACGGCAGGCTCCAAAAATATTAAAATGGGATCACTGTACTTACACTCGAGCATCGAGGCCGAAGTGACGAGTGTCAACAATCCATTTGATTAAATGAGGGGCGGTGTCCGCCAGCTGCTCAAACATCATATCATCCATCCTTCCAAGGCGCACCGCTCTCTCTCTCTCTCTCTCTTTTTAGTGTAACAAAATTGTACGACAGATTTTAGAGAGAGAAAGAGAGGAAACACATTATTAGGCCAAATTTATAAACCGCCATTGAAGAGAAACCAAATTGCACCTGAACATTAAGAGAGAGAAAGAGATTGCACTTAAACATGTGTGAGGGGGGGGGGGGAATGCAGAAAGCACTTGAACTAGAGAGAGAATGCACATGTAGAGGGAGAGTGTGCATCAGATAGAGCCCTAGAGAGAGAAACTCCAGTTTCACACCATGAGTTTGCAGTAAGAACTACACGAAGAGAGGGGCACAAGAGAGAGAATGCACTTGAACTACACGCTAGAGAGAGATTGCACTTCAAAACATGAGAGGAAAATCTAGGCTTCATTGCACCTGCACCACAACTGTGTGAGAAAGATAGTATCAGATATGTTTTTTTTTTTTTTGGGGGAGAGAGAGATCATTAGAAATTAAGAGAGAAAATCATCAGAAATTAAGAGAGCAATATCACGAGAAAATAAGAGGGGGAGAAAACCACAAAAGAGTTACAACGGGGAAAACTAATAGCGTACTCAACTTAATAATCCCAAGGAGCTGAAGCAACAAAAGACTGTAGTTTCTCTCTCTAGAACTTCATACTAGTTATTCATATAAGAAGTAAGGTTAATACTTCCAAAGATAAATGTAAATCCTCAATTCTGATATTGTAATGAGATATACCAAGAGAGGGAAACTGGATTTACCAGTTAAGAGAGTGAGACCTTACCGTATCAAACTTTTTGAAAAAAACTGCAAATATGAAGAGAAATCAGTTCATTTGAATAGAGAACTAGAAGCCCAATAAAAGCAAAATCAATTGAGTTGGGCATTTGAATATATTGTAATGTCTCTCTCTCCAGCTAAAAGCTCCCCAAACATAACTCATAAACAGAGGAGAGAGAGAGAGAGAGATGAGAGTGAGAGATGAGAGAGAGAGAGGGAGCTCCCTTCAGTCCAAGAATGGTGAGGCAAGGGTGAAATTTATCTCCCGCATCATTCACAAATTTAAAGAGTAGAGAGAAAAATCACGGCCTTTCTACCAATTATTTGAATGAATGAGTCGGCAGATAATTCGACCCCTAGACACCAACCATAGGTGGACTAAAGAGAGCTCCCTCCGCAAGTCCCAATTTTGCATGTAACCAAATATGGAAGCTATGAAAATTCTGGATTGAGAAAGAAATAACACACTTCATTCTACAATTTACAGAAAGAATTAGAATAAGTGTGCATGTAATTAGGGTGAGAAAGAAAAAATACAATTCATATTACAGTTCTACAGAAAATCTTGGGAAAATTTTGCATGTAACTAATACTAAAGCCATTAAAGTTGTAGAGTAAGAGAAAATACACCCCATTCTACACTTCTATAGAAAACCTTAAGATGAATAGTTAGCACACCAAATCAAAAAGACCATATCAGAAGACATTATTAAAGTACAGAAAACTGAAAAGCCATGAATATGCATGGTGCAACCTGTAAGCACAGAAATACAAGAGAGAGAGAGAGAGAGAGAGAGAGAGAGAGAGAGAAGAGAGAGGAGAGAGGGAATGAGCAATACAAGAAAACTAATAGAGGATGAGTTATTAAACACAACAAGCAGTGAGAGAGGGAGAGATCATGGCAAATTACAGTGAGAGATCTTTTGCATCATGTATTGAAAACTTAAACTGAGACATATATTAAGTGAGAGAGAGAGAATGATTCAGATGAAGATAGGGGGTAACTATTTACTGTCAGAATGAGCATTCATAAAGGAGATTGATTGATGCTCAAACTTAACTATGAAGAGAAGCAAAGGAGAAGAATTAAACAGAGGATTCATCAAGATAACCAAAAGGAGCATCTAAGACACTTGTGAGATAATCCTCTCTCTCTTCTCTTCTCTCTCTCTCTCTCTAACATCATAAGGAGCAACAGTTAGACATCATGTCATAATCAACAAAGTTTTTTCTTAACTACACAAATCCCAGTATGTCATTCTGCTCTATCCGAGGGTCATAGACCCCATAAGTCCCCATATCTTATCTCACTGTACCTTAACCCCATTATTCTAAGAAACACAAAATAAAAATATCAACACCTACAATCTCTAGAACCTGCACTTTTACAAGATTAAACATCCCTAATCTCTCTGAATCCATGAATCAAATCTGAAAACTCTAGAAACCCTAGTTTAGGCCAATCTTCAAAAGCACAAAAGACAAACTTCAAAAGCACAAAACTATAAAAAAAAAAAATCAGGAGGCTGTGGAGAGAAAAGTAAACTCTATAGCTCAAGATCCATCAACAGAAAAGGAAAACAAAAAAAAAAAAAGTATATGTATAAATATTCCCTTCTTGGCCTCTCTTCTTCGCATTCAAAACCCTAATCTGGCCATTGCCAAATTACAAGAATCAAACAGTACAAAAACAAAGAAAAAACATTTTATTAAATAGAGAGAACCAAGAAGAAGATATTGGAGAGCTCTCATATTCCTATAAATTCAACAAGCTAAAATAAATAACCATTTTATTAAAAAACCCTAAACCAGACAAACCTGGTGAGAGAGAACTCACTTTGAATCCTCCATTAAAATGAAAACCAACAAGGAAAAACAGCATCCATGACCGGACCTGGACACCCATTGCACAAAAACCCATGTTAAAGGTTTCCATTAATGGAAACCCTAATCCTGTATTACACTGCAAGCAGCCAAATAAATCAGCAAAAAGTGGACCGCTCATACACACAAATGGGAAAAAAAATATATATGTAAAATAAATTTAACAATAGAATAGAAAGACATTGAGTGTGTATAGAGATACTGTACTGAAAGATTTAGAGAGAGAATAGGGATAAGAGACAATACTCCGTTTCTCTCTCTAAAGGAAACATAAGGATATGAAATAGAAACAAGCGATTAAAGATAGAAAACGATTGAGAGAGGGATTGGAGATGAGAGAGAAAAACAGATTAGTAAAACTCTAGAGAGAGAGTACAGATGAGGTAGAGATAAAGAGTAGGGATGATAAAGTAGAGAGATTGAAGAGAAGAGAAAAGGAAAGAGATACACAAATGTGATAGAAAGGAAAACCAGAGAGAGATAGAGCTTTCCATGGATGGAAGCAAGAGAGAGAGAAAGAAGATAGATAGATAGATAGATAGATAGAGAGAGAAAGAGATAGAGAGAGGTGCACATGAAGCTCCCATGCAGAAGGGGGGGTCGCTTTCACATGGGAGTCAGAACCCTAAGTGGGTTACACTTTTTTTACAGAAAGAAACTGCAAAAATCTCTGCAAAAATCTGCCAAATCCAAGCCAAGCAGGGGATGAGGGTAAAGAGAGAATCTGGGGGCTGGTGCTCTTCTTGGACAAACAGCGAGAGTTTTACAGATCTAGAGAGGGTGAGTCCCATAAATATAGCCCTTAATTTATAGTGAGAGAGGGGCTAATATGCATTGCCTCAAGTCTAGAGAGAGAAAGAGGCTAATATGCATTTGCTGAAGTTTAGAGGGAGAGATAGAGGCTAATATGCATTAGCTAAAGTCTAGAGAGAGAGGCCAATATGCATTGGCTAAAGTCTAGAGAGAGAACGAGGCTAATATGCAATGGCTAAAGTTTAGAGAGAGAGAGGCCAATATGCATTTGCTAAAGTTTAGAGAGAGAGGCTAATATGCATTAGCTAAAGTGTAGAGAGAGAGGCTAATATGCATTGGCTAAAGTATAGAGAGAGAGGCTAATAATATGCGTTGGCTAAAGTCTAGAGAGAGAGGCTAATATGCAATGGCTAAAGTTTAGAGAAAGGCTAATATGCATTGGCTAAAGTTTAGAGAGAGAGGCTAATATGCATTGGCTAAAGTTTAGAGAGAGAGGCTAATATGCTTTCGCTAAAGTCTAGATAGAGAGAGACCAATATGCATTGGCTAAAGTGTAGAGAGAGAAAGAGGGCAATATGCAATGGCTAAAGTTTAGAAAGAGGCGCTAATATGCATTTGCTAAAGTTTAGAGAGAGAGAGGCTAATATGCATTTGCTAAAGTTTTGAGAGAGAGAGAGGCTAATATGCATTTGCTAAAGCTTAGAGAGAGAGAAGGGCTAATATGCATTGGCTAGTCTAGAGAGAGAGAGGCTAATATGCATTAGCAAAAGTTTAGAGAGAGGCTAATATGCATTGGCTAAAGTTTAGAGAGAGAGGCTAATATGTAATGGCTAAAGTTTAGAGAGTGAGAGGCTCATTTGCATTGGTTAAAGTCTAGAGAGAGAGGCTAGTATGCAATGGCTAAAGTTTAGAGAGAGAGAGAGGCTAGTATGCAATGGCTAACGTTTAGAGAGAGAGAGAGGAGGTCGTGTATGACAAGTAGTAACTAAAGTAGAGAGAGAGAGAGAGAGAGAGAGAGGTAGTATGCATTGGCTAAGTTTAGAGAGAGAGAGAGGGGGTAGTACCATATGTATAGCTATTAATAAAGCAATAGTATCGACAGTGTGTAACAGACAGTGATGAGCTAATTGTTCCACTTTCGACAGTTTCAGTCAAATACATTACAGGATTTTTTGTGGCTGTTCCCAAAATTGCCCTTCATCTTTACTGAAAATGTCTTAAAAAACCCTCAAAAGTTTCCCTAAAAGACAAGGGTTCTATGTGGCCAGCCCGCGTATTGTAGAAATATACGCTTGACAATATTTTTTAAAAAAAAATATAATTTAATCTTCATCTTTAAAGAATGTATAAGGAGGTCATGAATATGAAAAAAATAAAAAATAAAAAATAAATATAATAACTATATTAATAAAACATTTGAAGTGTTAGTTACACTTGTTTTTGGATAGACCACCTATTTACAAAGATGCATGCTTTATACCTCTGGACCTCATATTGTAGAAATACAATCCACTCGAAACAATTTTCTTTCGCTAAATCCCTAAGTTTGAGAAGTTTACATGAGGTTGGAGCTTTAAACAAAGAAAAAGCTTATATAATAAAGGTGAGGCCCTAAACAATCAAATTAAGGCCTACCGTAAAAATTCACTAGAAAGGCTATTTCGATCTTGAAAAATCTTCAATTTCATTATCTCAACCTCTAAATATATGGATATGAGAAAAAATAGATTTCCATTCGACCATCTTGTAATATATTATCTAGACTGTCAATGCATCCTATAATGCATTATATGGGTTGTCAATTTTCAATATTTTCAAGTATTCATAAATATGTTCGATCTACCCTGTTTTTTTTAACGTTAAATTTTATAATTAGATATAGCATAGATTTCCATGCCATGCAATGCAATTATTTCGTTAAACAAAGTAACCATTAAAAATATTGTAATTGAAATAAAATATAGTAGGTGATGCATCACATGAAGTAGTTTTAGGTTTTGGAGAAATATGGCTAATTTTTTAAAAAAATTATGAAGCTTTGGGATGGTTTTGGTTTAATCCCGTGGTTTACTTTAAATACGACTTATTTGAAGTACTATTTAAGAAACATTTTAAAAGTGTGCCCATTCTCAAAGGAAATGGTTTATATAGGGGTGAGGCCCTAAACAATCGGTATAGGCCATAATTTCACTAGAAGAGGTTATTTTGATATTAAAAAATCTTCAAATTGATAATCTCGACTTCCATATGTATATATATATGAGAAAAAATGGATTTCAGGTCTTAGAAATAAGTCATCTTGTAATTCATTTTTTGGATGGTCAATTTTCAAGATTTTTAACTGTTCATAAGTATGCTCGATCTGAACTATATTTTAAGCTTTAAATTTTATAATTAGATATGAAAAAAAAATTCATAGCATCATAGAGATTTTCAGTAATGAAACAACATCTTTCGGCACTATTTGAACGTGCACTTTACTTTGATTGTTTAGGGCCTCAGCTTAATACAAACCACACCCCTTCTTAAAATACCTTAAAAAAATGTTTTTTTTTTCTTTTAAACAAGAAGATGAAATATATAAATATTAAATTATTATTCAGATGATCTCTAAAACTGTTATTATAAATCAAATTAAAGTTCTTTATTTGTTTCTCTCTTGGCCCATCAGACCAAATTCCTATTCATCTCTCACCATTTTTCTCTACTCTTGTCCTTCATCTTCCACAACCCGAATATCATGCTTCTCATCTGATTGTCCTCGTTCAGTTTCAGTTTGTGAGATGAATTTTACTTGTTAAAAAATGATAGGATCTTAATAATTTGATGATGTTATAGTATTTGATTACTTAGATTATAAACCTATGGTTCATTGTTTTTTTTTTGTGGGTAATTCAGTGTGGAATACGGGCTTCTACCCGTTTTTTCAGATAGATTAAGGAGTTAGCTTTTTTTGAGTGAGGGTTGTCCACAAGATTGAAACTACAACATGATAACTAGATATGGGGGTGTAACCACCACGACCCAACCTCTGTCTTACATTTCATTGTTTTAATTGTAATTCATTATTTTACTAATGACTCTATACCAATTCATATATACCCATTTTTATTTTAAGTATGTTTTTTAGACAAATCCAAGTTACTCCAGTATTTTTCTTAATTTTTCGACATTCCATAATGTTTTGCTCCTTTTACCACACAGTTTTCCTGACCCAAAATCGAATTGATCAGATTTTGTTTTCCACAAATTTATTACCTCTAGGCCACTTACTAACTACAAGAGAGGCATAAAAGGGGGCTCAGCATTTCTTCTTAGAAATTGGCCACCTCAAATCCATCCTATATTCATCTAAAATATTTATTCTTGGAAACTAGCCTTTTGGGAGACCCCAAATCCATCCTATATTCATCTAAAATTGTTTACTTGTAGTAAGTGTCACTAAATTTCACCAAATTTTCCTACAATGGCATGAACTATGAAATCCATTATTCTAGAATCTTCATAATAGAGCAAAACAAAAAGATTTTGGCCAGTTTTGGCAGTAATATTCCTTCCTGGATTCACACTACACCTACCCACCAACAATGGCTCCTTTCACACCATAGTTTTAAAATGCATCATGTGCTCAATGTCCAACGCGCATAACAGTCTCTCTCCAATTGTTCCATCTGATCAACTACTAAATTGATTTGATTGTTGAACTGCAAAACTCATTTGGGCTCCGCGCTCTTCCAAACCAACCAACCTTGGTGGTTGTTGTCTTTCGGCCGATCCTCTTTCGATTTGGGTGGCGTAGGAGGTAGACTTTGTAAGAACCCCTTTTTTTAATTCAATTCATTAATAAATGATTCAAAAATGAATTAGACGTTGGTCCCTTGTGTATTATTTTCTCTCCGTGACGGATACGTTGAGGATATTTCATCTTTCTTTTTTTAAGATGGTGGTCAAAGTTTTTTTTGGTCAAATACTTATCAGGTTTTTTTTGTTTTGTTTTGTTTATATGTTAACTATTTATCAATTTTTACTTGAAAATACTACTTTTTTCCAATAACGTAATATTCTTATTTTCTTGACATGTAATTTTTTCTTTTAAATTTTTTCTAAATGCGCAATGAACTATTTAGCATGATACATTTGTTTATTTAATTATGATAAGCCCATCTCATACACATGTTCATGAGTTGGAATAGT